GCCGAGGGCAGCGCCCTGCTGTAAGGCTTCCAGCCTAAGCCCTCCGCCTCGCCAGCTGTGGCTCAGGGACACATCTGTCCCCTGCTTCAGATTAAGGTCTGTCCCATCTGTGCTGGGAGAAAGACGCAGGGCTGGGCGACCCACACTGGCCCCTCCTGCATGCACTCTGCCTCCCCTGGGGGCTCAGGGAGCATCCACATCACTTATAGACCAGCTGAAGGACCCCCCCAGCCCCCTTTCTGCCCCCCTCTCCTTTTTTCTTCTGTACAGAAAGCCACAGAGCCGGGGCGGAGAGCAGCAGCAGTTTAGTTTCTGAACCCATCCTGTTTCCTGTCCTTTGCCAAAACCTCTTCTGCTTCCCTGCCCAGGGCGTTGGGGCTCGCCCACACCCAGCTGCCAGAGGAACGGGTGATGTTGTTTGTTTTTTTTGTCACAGCAATGAAGTGTTTATAGCAACCGTGCTCCACAATCCACAAACTTCACTGATCTCAGCCCAAGCTTCTGAAATCATGGCAGAGAAAGCACAGCCCCTTCCTCCGGGGTCAGCCACGGTGGTGTTTCAGGTCACCGAAGCGGGGGACCTTTGTATTGAGCATCACCACGCTAGACATCACCCGACACCTTTTGCTGTCACAGATGGGCACTTTGGGGCTGGGGCCATGTCCTGACCCTACCTGCAATGGCAGTGACATCCCCGTGGCTGCTGGCTGGTGATCAGGCGGGACAGGGCTGGGGGCTGCCAGCCACCTCCCGAGGGTCTGCTCTCTGCCTCAAGTGGTGGGAGCACCTGGTAGAGCACGCACTGAGCCAGCATCCCTCGGCTGCTCTCCCCCAAAAAGCTGGGATTTGCCCTGACCGTCCTGCTCTCACCATCTTCCCTGTTGCAGGAGCAGCGCAGCCAGGGCATGGCTGCACTGGGAGGGAAGGGACCGTCCTTGCCCATGCCCAGCTCCCACCGGGGCTCAGAGCCGAGAGCATCGCAGACGAGCTGCGCTGGATGCCACGCTGCTGCCTGTCTGCACAGCTCATGCTCCAGGCCACAGAGATTTGCTGTTCAAGGGAGAAAAGATTGCGTCTGCTGACAGCCCACCTCCCCGGTGCGCCGGCCGCTGCTGAGCCTCGCTGCGCATCGGAGGGGAGCGCCTGGCTCGGGCGCGGATTTCCTATCCAAATGCGATACAGCTGTTTCTGCTTGCTCTCCAAAGACTGAAGCAAGTTTTAAAAAAATCAATTTATGATGTATTTTCTTTGACCAAGGCTCCTTACGGATGTGACCCACGCCTGAACTGCCCAACCTCACAGCACCGAGGCTGGAGCAGACGGAGAGCGTGATTTGTACAAGCCAAAGGCTGGGAGGGGAGTAACCTGACAGCAAGTCCTGGGGCTAACCACCATCTCAGTGGGAATGCCTCTTGCAGGGCAGGCAGAGAAATAGGACACTTAGAAGGAGCTTTTTGGGAATCAATACCCAAGGGCTTGTCCCCAGAGCTTGCTTGAGGGAACCCCAGTTTCTATCCACCTGCCATGTGCAGCACAGGGTGCAGCAGCTGTAGGATCGGGTTTAGCTTCTTTGCAGGTTTCCTGAGGCTGCACAGACCTTGCACAGCTCTGTTCCGACGTCCCTCTGCGCACCCAGGGCAGGGAGAGCTGTCCCCAGCCAGCACACCTCCATCGCAGACCGGTGGCGGGGATGGAAGCCAAGGGCATCCCCGGGCAGCACAGTGCAAGCAGCAACACCCTGCCTCCTGCCCCGGCTGCGGCCACTGCCCACCGAAAGGGCTTTCAGCTGAAGGGCTGGACCGCTCCGGCCTCTCCCTCTGCAGCACTTGCTTTTCCATACCTCTCACTGGTTCCCTGCTCATCCCGGCTGGCCTGGCCGCTTGCACGTGGAATTAGCTGCTCCTGAAAAGTTTTGGTGCAGGACCCTGTTCGGAAAGACCAGGACCCCACTTCACGGGGCCCTTTCCCAGCTGGACACTCTTATGCAAATCCAGAGGATGACGTGGCTTGTGTTTGCCATCATTTTCAATGCTGAGGGTAAACACTATCTCCTTGGCACGCTCAAGGCTGCCGAGATTATATCACTAGTTTCCTTTGAAGCCGGGTTCGAAGAGGAAAGGCCCATCCCAGCACCCCAGGGGTGGGCTGGGTGCCAGCAGCGGTGCGGAGCAGGACCGTGTCTCGCTGGCTGGGAGCCGTGGGCGCTGGCACCCCCGGGAAGGGAGGGCAGGGACCCCTGCGAGCCCTGGCTGGCTGGGAGGCCTGGTGGTGGCCAAACAGCAAAAGCCAGGGTTTGCCTTTGGCACAGACGCCTGTATTTGTTGTGCTAACCGGGTGGGAGGGGAGGCAGCACCGGCTGTTTGAGTTTGTCCCACTGAAGGGTGCCTAGTGGGTGCAGAGCCTTGTGGCATCAAGCACACGGGAAGTTTTAAGATGCGTATCAGATCAGGCTACTTTTGACACCAAAGATTTTGACATAGGACACGTACCTCTGAGCCCTGAGGGTTTTGGCCACATCCCAGGAAGGCTGGCGTGACAGTAAGATGCAGAGCGGTCTCTAAGGAAATGCGTGCTAAACCATAGACAAAAATAGCCCAGTGTGTTATGAAGTATCTCTGAATATGTAAATGGGGTGGTTCAGGTTAGGGAAAGAAAAAATGGTTAAGAAACCATTTTAGAAACATCCCTCCAGTTGACATCTTTTACACCTGTCAGTGCTGTTCTTCCAGCAGGGCAATGAGGTTAAAACACGAAAGGGCAAAGCGCTTGCCAGCCAGCCCTGGCTTTGTAGTACTGACCTACCGAGGGAGGCCTCTGCCTTGCCGGTAACCTCCCGCCTTATTTGGCCTCTTCGTACAGCTGCTCTGAGCAAAAGCAGCAAATACCAGGTTTTCCTGATGTGGCAGACGACCACGTCCCAGCAAGACACCTCTCTGCCCCAACTGAGGGCTGCAAAGGGCCATCTCAGATCCAGGAGCAAAGAGCTGGGGGCTGCCCGCGGGCATGGCTTTCCAGCAGGCACTGCCGGGGGCTGGGAGATGGCCAGGAGGCTGTTGAATGCCGCAGAGACCTCAGGTCAGCAGTCTCAGACCCTCGTCCAGCAGCACTGCCTGCCTCTGCTTTAACCCCGTGACAGATGCAGGCAACAAGAGGTGGCTCCTGCCATGTGCCACCACGCTCCAGACTTCTGCAAATGTCACGACACAGACCCACTGAGGCCGTGGGTGGGGTAGGACCTTCCCTCTGAGCCCATGGAGACCCCGACCCCAGACAAGGACTGGCAAGACACCCACCACACCTTCCCTTGGGGCACGCTCAGCCCCGGTGCCCACAGCACCCAGGGGACCTGCTCTCACCCCCCAGGGCTCAGGCAGCCCCCTGGGGTGGGCAGCCAAGGGCAGGACCCCGCACACACCAGGAGCAAAAACACATGGAGCCATCACACGGTGTGGGGCTCGATCCGGAGGGGTCCTTAAGCAAGTGGTAAGTGCTTCGCAATCGAGTCCCACGGGATCCCCGTTACAGACAGCACAGCGGCTACATGGGGGAAGCATCTTTCGGTCTGGGTTTATTAAAGACTGAGAATACAACTGTGGGCCCGGCCACGAGAGCTGGGTGCCAGAAGCAGGGCTGGGTTTTGGCTGGAAGGGTGCAGTCTCCTCTCCAAGCGGCCTTCAGCAATACCGGCCAAATTTCCTATCCGGCAGGGCGTCCCAAC